TGTCCATTCCTGGTCAACTCAAAGATCATTTGGTAACTTTGATTTCCCTCTAAATTTACAATCTTTTAAATTGGCCTGCTAGACCAGTTTTTGTTTCGTTAATCTAATGATTGGGTTCTTGTATTGAAGGTTCTGTATGGCCCAAATGCGCCACTTGTGTTGCGAGGTTTAACCTGCACACTCCCAGGAGGGCTGAAAACTGGAATTAGAGGAAGAACAGGCAGTGGTAAATCAACTCTCATTCAGATGCTCTTCCGAATTGTTGAACCTTCAGCTGGTTATATTATGATAGATGGCATAAATATCTCAACCATTGGACTGCATGATCTGCAGTCAAGGCTGAGCATTATTCCTCAAGATCCAACAATGTTTGAAGGCACAGTTCGAAGCAATCTGGATCCTCTTGAAGAATACACAGATGAACAGATATGGGAGGTGAGTTGATTTTTAGTCTTCAATAAAGCAACTTTTTTTTTATTTGACTTCTTCTAAAGTCAGTTATACATTGTTCTGAGGCTGGAAATTGAAGGTTAGCATCTGCTAACACATTTTTCTATTGTTTTTAGGCTCTAGATAGGTGCCAACTTGGGGATAAAGTTAGGAAGAAGGACGGAAAGCTAGACTCCAGAGGTTTGTTTTTGTATCTAATCTCGACATGCTAGCCTAATTGACAATATAAAATGTGTCAAACTCAGAATAGAAAGTTATCACATGGCAGTTCTGGAGAATGGAGAGAATTGGAGTATGGGTCAGAGGCAGCTGGTCTGTCTTGGGCGTGTACTACTTAAAAGAAGTAAGGTGTTGGTGCTCGATGAAGCCACTGCAACTGTTGATACAGCAACTGATAATCCAATTCACAATACTCTTCAGCAACACTTTTCTGACTGTCAGTATTACGATTGCCCACAGGATAACTTCTGTTCTTGACAGTGACATGGTTCTACTTCCAAGTAACAGTCAATAAGCCATATCCTTCCTTCGTTGTCTGGATTTTGTAGATATATGTAACACATTTCAGTCTTGATGCAGGCCTTATTGAGGAATATGATTCTCCATCCAGATTACTAGAAGACAAATCTTCATTATTCGCACAGCTTGTAACAGAGTATGCTATGAGGTCAAATTCCAATTTTGAGAAGGCAAAGTGATGATTAGTGTACAAACCGCAAGTTTTAATTGATGATAACAATACCAATAGCATCAAGGCTCTTCATATAATACCACATCAACTTTCTCTTGTTGGAATGTAACGTATTCATAATCATTGTAAACTTCAGTAGATACCTAATAATGTAATATACAGCTGAAATTTGTATTATTTCTGCTTTATGATTGCAATATGCACAGTAATTGCAAAGAAAGAAAAAGAAAAACACTATTGAAAATTTTAGTTTTTTCTCTTGAACACTTAAAATTATGTGTATGTAATTGAGATTGTAATGCAATCACAGAAAACGTTTTCTGGGATATAGTGAATCTTATTAGAATTCATCTTTCCTCGAATTACATTTCTGGCTTTCCAATTTTCAAGCTTCACTAATCTACAGCTTCTTGATTCTAGTAACAACAAACTAGAAGACCCTGCCTATTTGCAACTCAATCTTTGATCTTGTGAACCCTATTGATCTCTCTCTCTCCTCAAGTAACTTCTCTGGGTTTGACAAGCTTGACAAAATTTCAAACCTCAACAATCTAAAAGTGATAAATTCTGGATAACAACTAACTTGTACAATGTGGAAGAAAATTATTGTCCTCTGCAAAAACAGAATCCTGAAGGGACACGCTCCATCTACGGGTACCTCTGCAAACTGTATCAATACCTTCTGCATCAAACTGCAGGTTTGATTTGGTCATGACTCCCATAATTTGTTTCGTTGGGTAATAGAGCTTTTCCATTTTCAACGCTACTGGATCTTGTCTCATTGCAGTTACTGCAGCTATAATCTCATTCCCAATTTGAAAGGCTTCTCTTAAATTGATGATTTCACGAACATAGATTCGACAAATGAGAGTCCTAACCATCTTCACGGCTATTGAGCTCACAAACAACAAGCTCCAGACAGCAATTCCATAATCCATCAGTGATGTACTTGTGCTTAACTTTTCGTGCAACTCTTTCACAGGCCAGAATCCATTGGCCCTGGGGAAACTATCCGACCTCAAAGTCACTGAATTTATCATAACTTCTCGCACAACCAATTGACAGGCCTAATACCACAGAGCAGACAGTTAGGAATCTCCACTAGCTCATTTCTTGCAAGTCTAATAATTTAGGACTTTCTGGTTGTCCAAAAGCTGACGACACTGTAATGCATAAACATCTCAACAAAATCAAGAATCTGGGGCAATGGACAACCACTGCTAGCGCAGGCAAAATCTGACCCTCCTACTCTTCATTAATCATGAGCATATATAAATGCCACTTCATAGACGATATCATGATGGTGGCTAGCTGCCGCACCTTCTCGGCGGGGTAGAGTGAGTTATTGCAGTCGGGGTTTGTAGTAGTAGAAATACAAACTTTTAAAAATTCTCAAAGAAGTAGAAAACAAAGC